CCCCCGGCCCCACCCCCCCCCCCCCCCCTGCATTGCTATATATGTTATTAAACCTGTTAGATCAGAGTCATTGCCAAAAATGTACTTGTACCAAAATGAATTAATGTATAAACAAATGAATGAAATAGAAATATGATAGACCTCTTCCTCTGCTCAGCAAAGAGGCACACTTCTTTATTAGCATACAATTATTTACATACGCTTTTGTGTGAATGAAAGCGTAACCCAAAATAACAGGTATTTCCTGTCACTGACGCGCATTGTATTCAAATCATCAACATTTATCAATTATGAAAACCAACATCAAACGAATAAATTTTCCCAATTTTAAATTTCATTACAGGAATATATTAAATATGATTTGTCATTTATCATTTTTCTATATGATCTAAGAGTCTATTAAAGATGCATACTTAATGTAAGTTATTATTATAAGTTTGGCCTCAAATGGCTCATGTATAATTCTACGTTTGCAAACACATCGAGTCCGATGTGTCGGTGTATTTAAATGTATTCTAATACAACCCCTATATCCTGTTGTTCTTGATTGATCAACACATCAAAAGAATAATTTCAAGAATTCAAAATGAAGTCACTTCTGAATTTTTCATTTCATGTGGAAAACATTAATTCCCACAAAATATTGTTCATAAAGTATTGATGTGCGGCGGTAAGAGCAGATCTGCATAGCACATATTCATGGCTGCGGTGAGATTGCTGTCATTTTAGGATGGTAACCATGGTGACGCGTGGTGAAAACAACACTTGGTGACAGAGCAAGGTCACGTGGATACCAGGTATGGATGACCTTGATAACACGCTTATAGCAGGTTTGTTTCTCTAAAGATTGAAACTATTATAAAATTTAAGCAGTCATTCACGAATGCACGTGCAGACACACATTTTTCTTTCAGGAATGAGGGTACCGTACAAGCAGTGGTAGGTCCTTGGGGCAAGGAGTGGAGGGACTTCTCTCGGCTTTCACATTTGTTTATAATCAGACATGCCAATGAGCATTAGAGCCACACACACGCACGCGCGCGCAAACGCACACACACACACACACGCACACACACGTCTTCCGGCCACAAAACCATGTCAGCTCTAACCACGAGCCCATGTTGCCATTCATGCTTTATCTATTAAAATATTATCAAAATAATAAATCGTTTTTCAGGTTAATATTATTATAAATATTATTCTTTTCATTCGGAGAAAAAACATGGTAAATATAAAATTTATCTTCTTCGTGCCCCCCCTTTTCAAAAAGCGTATTGATAATAACTTGGACCATCATACACGTACATGTATGAGGTTTCCAAGATTTTGATTTCATAATGATATTTTCGATTTCCTTGGTATCTTTACTGGAAAGAAACCTCATCATAAGGAAAATAGCATGTACTACCCAAGTCATATTTGCTTCATTCAAGTTAACAGGTTTTAGTTTAGTATAAATCCCGAATTATTTAGTTATATCTATATGTACATGTGCATGTACATGTACATTTTCACCAGTACAGACTGGTGCGTAAGAGACAAAAAAAAAGCTTCTTTCTTGTTCTTCTTCTTTAATAATAATAATAAAAAAAAAACTATTCAATAGAATAAACATTGGCCCCCGGTGAGTCGTAGACGATCTATTGTTGTCAATTTATTCATCACGCTTTACATGTTTATCTCGTTTATAACATGCATGTACGTAAATTGCATTAAATTTTATTTACCTTCAATGTTTAGTACTCTTTTGTCATTCACTAGTGCACATAGCCATCCATATTTTCGTATTAGTACGAATAAACTGAATCTTATTGGATACTTTTAACATTATAGTGAAGTCACAGTCTATACAGTAACTTGAAAATACTGATATAGAATTTCGATAAGTTCATTTTTAGAGTAATTTTGGGATACATCAAATTTTTAGTGAACCAAATTGCTCTTAACAGACTAATTTTACCCCATAAAATCGCCATTAAAAAGTATAGCCACACAAATGAAAACATGACAAGTTAAGTTTGATCATATGGCTCGTGTTTTTCCTCTTTGATTGACGTGATTGGACACTTTAAAACATAAAGTTAAGGCTAGAATAAATATATTATATATATACTCGGTTCCTAAATATATTGCCGCGATACAAAACATAAATGATGGAAGAAGCGCATATCAGCAAATGTGAAGATGGGTTCGACTTAAACATTTTGTTCCCGGAACTAACACTAATCGTTACTTCGATAAGAAAAATAAATTTGTAATAAGTATTTATTTTTACTATGGGCTTTGGATGCCATTCTTGTGTCGAGCAAACGCTCAACGTAACGAAATGTGTCATGAAGATATCAAATAGAATTCCACGACTTTCCACATATATACTGTCATACTGTTCTCACTTCTTCAGCATTTCACGCGACTGCTCAACTTGATTTCAGTTTCTTGTGGGTCTATTGTGAAGCTTAAAAAACCGCTACATCGCAGACTCTGGGCAGCCGTGTGTCTTCATACGATGGTTGTAATATTTTACCATCATTTCCTTCGCATTAGTGAACTCCTGGGTACACTTGGCGCCAACTGTGTCGAAGGCTTTGTACCAACCCTGGTAAAAGCAGCCCATAAAACCGATATTTGTTAACTTGGACCTGGAGAATATGAAACGTATGTGATGAGCAAGGTCTAAAACTCCAAGTTCATGGAGTAATTGTCACAAAAATAAAATATGTTCACATGATTTTGTCTGCGTGTGTGGGTGTGTCTGTGTGTGTGTCAGAGAGAGAGAGAGAGAGAGAGAGAGAGAGAGAGAGAGAGAGAGAGAGAGAGAGTGAGGGAGTTAACAGGTTGTCAATATTGCAGTGTATCCTTTTTAACCATATATTCCCATAGCGTATCTTGTCAACGACTGAACTGGGCCTTATAATTAATTGTTTTAAGAGTATCAAAATCAAACGTAACTCATAAATGAGCAATTTGCAATAATGTACAAAATACATGTATAGGCCTATATCGTACGTGTAACATAACGTTTTTGAACAGAACCGGTTTGGTATTTTCCCATTGCACGAGCAGAGTTACCCTTCCCCGAATAGAAGAATTATCAGATGAAAATAATGGAGAGAGGTGAAATTTATGAAAAAAAAATTAGAAACAAATGAAAAGAAAAAATAGCGTTAATAAAACATATATGTTGAAAGACGTTCCTAGCGCTATTTAATGGCGACATTCCAAGTTACTGTTACACTGAATTAGAAATATTCAACGTGACTCTTGTAAACGCTTGTTAAGCTAGGAAATTTACAGAAGCTTGTAGCGGGTGCACATCTCAAACGCATTACTAGCGGGCAGTTTCAACATATATTATATTTTTCGGAATTGATAAAAACTCCACATACCATTCACAATATTCGAGTCCCCCTGTACTTTTAGCGTTGTATTGAGAACTGCATTGAATCTGGACGTCCATTACTTTCTGCGTACAATCTGGTGCAACACCTACGGACAAAAAATCTGGATGAAACACATTCTTTTTGAAAAGGATGACTGGTTGAAATAAGTAGATAGATAAATGAATTAAAGAATATGACGATGCTAATAAGAAAATAATTGTGATTTTCCAGACATTGTTTTGAAGGGTTGCAAAATGTGGAGTTGACAATAACAGAACTATATCATAGAAGAATTTCATCAGCTGTGTTATGTTATATGAATGAAGTAATTTTTGTTCACTCAACAGCTTAATATTGATATCTCCTGAATAGAGGCTATTCACCTGGTTAGCCTCATTCCCTGATGAAGATGTTCTGTTAGACATCGAAATATTACAGGTAAAACTATTTTAATATTAAGTTGGTGACTGGATAAAAATTGCTTCATTTTTTGAACTATATCAAAACTGTGATCGCTAACCGTAAAAACAATTAATTTTACTATTAGACCCCATTTCCATAGATTTTAGATCGATCTATCCCTGTGGGGAGTCTCACTAGATTACTGTTAGCTTAGCCGGCTTAAGCGTCTGTCCCGCCTACTGAAAGCTGTAAGGGGGTAATTAACTACTGTGCGCGCTCGGCTGACTGCAGTTTAGCTTGAACTCCGGGGAGTTAGGTCGATCTAAATTTTAATCCCTGGATCGATCTAAATCTCTGGGAATACACCCTTAGAAACACTGAGATTAATCCACCTCTTGTATCCATGTCTTCCTGATCTCTTGTTAGCAGTGCCACGATGCGTTCTAGCAGTTTGTCCGATTTCGAAGAGACATCTTCACTGCCTAAACATGCTGAAAATATTGAAAAATAAAATAAAATGTTGAACTGTGAAGTTAATAAAGCAAGTCCTTGCTTTAGAAAATAAATAAATAAACAAACATTGAATATACATGTAGATAAATGTAAATAGAGATGTGATTAAATTAAAAGAAAATTAACTAGTGTCATCCTCTCTTTTAAATAAGAGGCCAACATACTAAACTAAAAAAAATTAAAGAACCAAGAAACATTTACGCCAAAGTAATTATTTCGCGTTTAGCTCATGGATTACCATGATTTACATTACAAGAGAAGACATAAACTTTATAATGACGACTCTACCTACTTGAAAATGCTAGTAACACCAAAGCGAAACATATTACTTGTTTTTGAGCCATCACTTCAAGAGAGCTGAAATATAAGGGAAAAACTATTTTAAAATATTTATTACTTTCCAACACTTTCAAGAATGTACGCACTGTGTCACTCCCGGACAGAACGTACAAGCTGTAGGTATTGCAATACCGTAATACTTTTTAATAGCCATAAACTTGGTCGCATTCCAAGTCGAACATAAAAATGATTAAACTCTAGACTGCACAAAGAAGTCATTTGGTGACTTAATCTCGACTCGATATAATAATAATTAATTATAGTTTATATCAGCTTGTAATGTTACGAGTTAACATTTTGGCTGTCTATGCTATTTTGAATTCTACTACTATCCTAGACAAACGCAAAAAGTGTCAGTCCCACTTGTACGATAGAGAAAATAAAATTCTATCTCTCTATCTCTCAACCTGTACTTAGATCTCTAATGTTAACTTGCTCAAAATTAAACCTCTACCAGTGCCACAGATAGGTATTTACAAGTTATTCGCAGACATTTCTCTGACTAATTCTGTGTACATTTGTGTACTGAACAGCGGGTTTTTTTTTATATGCACAGAATTGCCTTTATAGATATGACGTCATCAGCAAGTTGACCTCCGGCAGAGTGATAAAAAAACTTACATATACAAGCATTTATACCGCCAGAATTGTGTCAAGTCAAAACGACCAATTTTTAATTTTAGTTTTAATAAAATCAGGAGTCAAAATGGGGTACATGTAAAATTGCATTTTCCCTTGTTAGCGCGCTTATTCACGAAGAAAATCTGCCACACTTTTCACTTCGCTAAAAAAGTCGGGAAAGGCGTAGATTAGATAAAACGGCTGTTTTAAGGACACGGTTTAGTCCGATAGGTATGTAAAACCCTGCAAGGTGTTTTCATATCTATAAGTAATCTAGGATGTGAAATATAGATAAAGCGGACTGCCCTTAGAGATAGCCTGCGTGCGTTAGTTCCGGATGATTATCGAGCTACCGACGGTTTTTCTTTTGTTGTTAGGGAAGTTAATAATGGGTTTAAGAAACTAAATAATCAAAAGCATTCTTCTGCTATTATACCTTCCGACAATATTATAATACACACTGACGCCTATGTGTTGTTATCTTTTATCACACAAATTTCTTCCGTGGAAAAAAAAAGATAAACATCGAGTTTACTGCAGTCCATCAAATAGACAGATACGACCCAGTGATACTGGCGGGTTGTGTGAGGACAGTCTTCAGTGGGAATATGCGTTTCAAATCTTAAAATACAGTACCTCGGGTCATGAAATATATTTTTCTTCCGATAAGATTACGAGAAAGTCTATTATAACAAACTGAGTGTTTTTTTTCAATTTTATCACACAGGTATACTACCCCCAAGCAGTAATAATAATAATAATAATAATAATAATAATAATAATAATAATAATAATAATAATAAAAGTTCAGCTATGTTATGTTCAATAATAAAAACATAAGATAGATTTAAAATACAAAATGGATGTTGCATATCGAGAAGGATTCATTAGAAGAACAAGAATTATACGCACTCCGGTATTTTTTTAATTAACAAACAAACAAACAAACAAACCAAAAAAAAGGGACACTTCATGAAAATGTAAGTATTTTTCATTTCAAATACTTTGTTCTTGCACGTATTATTCAAACTTATAGAATTCCCACCGCTGTTTACAAACCAAAATGTAGTAAAAGTAAAACGCACGGAATACATAAAACGGTTTAGTTGACTTAAGCCAATTACAGATAAAATCGTGATGTTCGTTTCCGTTATGTTTATGAGTCTGTATATTAGAAAGGTATAGCTTTCTGTCTGTGATCCTAAGCAATTTTTGGACTGACTTTTGATGTATACAGTGACTGGCAACACTTGTAGCCAGAGAAACTGGCGAGATTACGAGATTACGGTCCATGTTCAAATATATGCTTTAGTCAAGAATGGCTGAAAACAAAGTCGCCGTCTCTTACAGTATAACGAACTCCTCTTAGATCACGAAGAGATACATTTCAGAGACGTCTTTCAGATGAATGTATTGATATGCATCTACTTAAGCCGCTGAACAGGTACCGTGACGGAATTTAGAAAATAATCTTACACACCTTTGCATTAATCCCGCAGTATCGACCCTCTCTAGGTCAGATCAGGGATGAGATATTTTTTCTGAATGAAATATGTAACAGGGCGAAGGATAGAATGTCAAAATAACGACGGTCACGTCGTCCTGAATTTTTCGCCTTCTTCAAAAGCTATTTTCCGTTATCAATATAAGGGGTACAAGTGCTACTTTCCAGCATTGGGGACGGACGGCATTTGCTGCGGAAGTCATCGTCCGCACCACGAGGTCCACTGTTTACCGTCAGCAAAAGTACCCTAATGCTCAGAATATTTGGCTCCTATTTTCCCTTAGAAGAATTTCTTATTAACACGAGCAAACTTGATATTTTTTTTATAATCAAAAATCAACGCGTAAATTCCGATGTCTGTGTAGTCTGGGACAGTTTATTGTTGACTTTATTTACTATAAAGCCATCACGACATCATTGAATTTCCTTTACTACTCCCCCTCCTCCCCCCCCAACCCCCGCCCCCGAATCCGCCCATTTTTATTTGCAAAGGACAACCGTAACCCAGCATTAATATTCGTATTACAAGCGCATATCTACTTATCAGACCTTCATTATTTCGAACGAACAGTCAATTTGTATCGTGGGCAACAAAGGGCGTTTTTTTGTTAAAAAACAAAACGATACTTGATTCGATAATCATCAAGATGTCAACTCTCACGCCATTCAACCAAACAAGCAAACGCCCACACAATCACATTAACAAGAAACCACATTTTAAAAGCTTAGGGAAAACAATTTACAGATGAACGCAAAATCCGTTATAAAATCTAGATGACACCAACTAAGAACAAAAGGGTAATACTGGTAAAAGCCACATTTAGTTGTTGTCATTATACACTTTTCATATTCAATGTAATTAACCACCGGCATGCCTCTCTAGTTTTCCCTTTTCCTGTCTCTTATAAGTACACACTGACCAGGGACCACTGACCACTGACCACTTACAGGAATTATGCTACAAAGAAGGCTGCAATATTTAAGCACTTAAAGTTTTATGGGGCCTTTTATTTTTTCTTTCTTGTTGTCCAATTTTATAGTTCATTAATATGACACTGACTATTAAATATTTCCAAAACCCCAAATTTGAAAGGGGCGCCAGTTATCAAAAACTGTTCTCTAAACGGTGGCAGGCTCGATGTAACAGGGATATCAAAGCGTAGAAAAAGGTGTCACTTACTTTTTGCTCTTCCTGTAAATGGGTAAGAGAGAGTATCGCTGTGTATAGGCAAATGTTTACCCTATCTCTGTGTCTCACCTTTATAGCAACACCTCCTAGTGTTATCACTCAACTTGATCTCACCTTTAACAAAGGGCCACTTTTCTCTTCCTGGCAGTAATTAGGGCGCTGTCCATAGTGTGGTGACTCTACTATTCGTTCCACTTGTGTGGTTTGGCCTTAGACGACACGACGCACAGAACGAGTGAATTCTTTTGTCTAAGATTATTTCGGTGAAAACACTTTATTTGCGTCGAGGTTTTGGCTGCTGTGAACATTTTTTTCTTCTCCATCAAAATTATACGTAGTCATTACATGTGAATTTTTCATACGCACTATGTGATAGTAAATACAGGAAGTGTTGTCTATGATAAAACGGGTCTTCAATTATGTGAGATAATCAGCACGTCTCAGATCTAAGAATTTTAGATTTCACGAGGACGAACTGAAAATTTACAAATGACGTATTAAAGGAAGTGTGTGTGTGTGTGTGTGTGTGTGTGTGTTGAGAAAAAGCATATTGTTGACATTGTTGTCCTGTTTTTATTTGATATGAGTTGAACTTCATTTTAAGGTCATCTTTTATCTTTTAGGAATGATTTTGCCCCGCTGCAAACAAACCCGTATCAGATGTATTAAAATACATATTCAGTTTAAGGTACCCTGAGTGTCAGAGCAACGTAAAACCTAGCTTGTTAAATATACCTTGTAATGGGGTCGCTTTTACTTTTACATGGCCGCTGGTCACTAGAGCCGGTATTGTTGATATGGGTTATATATGAAATCAAGATCGAGCTGGCAATACCGGGATCTAGAACCTAGGGTAGTTTAAGGGTGAAACAATTAAATTGTCAGCATCAGATTATGGCTTGAACGCTGAGACTACAATTGTTGATTCAAATGAAGCAGCACTTTTAAAGGGACAATAACTCTTCGTTCTGGCCAAAAAATGAATTTTCCTGGAGTTAACAACAATTTCCCCATACTTACCAATGGTTAATGAATCCATTTTTACATTCAAAGTTAGTCCCTGTTTTTTTCTAAAAAGTTTGGTTTTTTGTTAAAATCTCTTAAGAGATTATAACAGAGTATAGCCATCAATGGAGGTCACGTGATCTGAAGACAAGCGCAGACATCAGAATAATAGCTATAACTGCTGTTTTTTGTCGTGAAGCAGAATATATTATATTTCTATGAGTTATTCACAATGTTTTTATTGTGAAACATAGATCTCATACGAAGAGTTATTATCCCTTTAATATACAGAAAGTGCGGATAATAGATTATTTTACGTCTTTAACTGGTGGGCCTCCTGACTGAAGCGGGGGGGGGGGGGGGGGGGGGGATTTCACAGTACACAACTTCCGTAATATTGGTATTAATGTTACGGTACACGGTTGCGGTGGTTGACATCGTCTGTCACACCTAACAGAATGGAGCTGACGCTCCCCAAAAGCGCATTTAATGCAATGCAGTAATCCATCAAATCATGCCATACGCTAAACTGACAAAGACTGAACATTTGGATAAAATAACACAGATGACCCCATTTCCTACACTACATTATAAAAATGTGTAGACTCTTTAAATAATTTTGCCTAAGACTGGAAGCTAAAATAGCACAAAGTACATACCATGAGGCAACTACATGTATACAGTAATATCTTTTAAAATTTGCACCATTTCAGTTAAATTTAAAGAGTCTACATATTTTTTATTTGGCTAACAGGGATCTTCACGGTGCACGTACCAATAGGCTGGGAAACAAGAGCAGGAAGAAAATCTCGTTAGGGTTTGTGAAAGGGAGGAGAAATCAATTGGAATTAATGAGTTTAATTATTGGTAATCTAATGAAATGTTAGGAAAACCGAAGATCCATTTACCGTTTTACGGCATATAAATTTCAACCATGGTTTATCCCTGGTGCAAATTTACTGGTATATACGTCCCCATATTTATCATTAAACTAAAAGTGTGACATTGTGACACATGATACTATAGTGTCTGTCTACACATAGATTTCCAGTTGTCTGATATATGAGCGGTATTTTTCTGCAAACAGGATCGGTTGTCTGTTTTTATAAACATGTCATGTTAAACGGGCACATTTGCTAAATTTAGTGTCGGGCGTACTACTAAGGTAAATTCAAATCTACAGTACAGGTGAATTTTGAGCATAAAAATATATGTAGAACAACAGCATCAGTGTTTCCTCTGGGGTCAATACCCATTTAGCATTTTTTCTTTTTAAATGTGGTTTGCTCAAAATTAGGGTTGGTTGTGTTCCCCTTGTAACCAACTTATCGATTTAGTCTGACCCACCGGAGAGCTGGTCGGGTAAATCTACCTGTGGCATAGCACTTACTAGACTAGCATATGATTTCATAATAGTTCCCGTTTAAGATAAAAACATCAGGTTACTATGAATCACACAGACAAACACATGCTCGCTGGATTCACGTGAAATGACAGTGCGTCCTATTGTGTTTAAGAGGTTACTGTCAACTCTCCTTTTTTCACAGCATACATCTGTCATTTTCCAGTAAGTCTTCCCTAGACTGGTTCCCCAGATTCGAATCATGGATTTGTGTGTTTCATCCTAAACCGTTTTTCGAAATTGTCGGATATCGTCTGTGACACAGAAACAGGGTTCAAAGCAAAAAAACAGAAGAAATCAGAAATCTACCAATGTAGATACAGTTTGTTGAACATAAAATTTGCACCAATTTTGAAGATGCTAACTGGTTCAGAAAGCGCGTCGTCTTAGATACGGTGAAGATAATGGAGGCAACGCCCACTATCGATCACATGTTCAACGCCAACCAATACAATTGCAACAAGTACCTGAAATATAATATCAAACCCCTCCCATTGCTATTGGATAAAAGAGGGCTCTATCCGCGGCGTCGTAGACAATACCCATTTGTTGGTTCATACGGTCTAAGAATGGCAGTGTTCAAGTTGTCATCATTTGTGCTCTTGTTGGTTCTTGTCCAGCACAGTAAAGTTTGGGGACACAACATTGTCAATCTTCGATGCGAGGTCCCAACTCACGGCGGCCTTACGTCACATAATACAGGCACAGGTACAGCTGATACCTGCACATGTACAAAGACCAAAGAAAAGGTTCGTATGCCGTACACTCTTAAAATTGATCAGTTAAACTTAACCGAAAATACGTTCAATATTAAACGATTCACTCAGTCAGTATACGTCCGACTACATATTCAGTTGACCCAAGGATTTACAACAGACTCCTTGACACAACAGAATTTAAGAATTTGTCATGTCGATCGTTTAACTTTTAGCCAAATCCTTGGTCAGAGTTAACCTTATAAACAGTGAAGATTAAACTGAAAAAAATGCCAGAAATGTTAGAGACATTCTCTAACGTCTTCTGAGTGTTCTGTTGAGAATAAGGTGAGCCCACTAAGATACAGAGGTTGAGACCGTTCCAACCCACGAGGGATGAGAGGCAGGGTATGAACGCCTTAGTCAGGATAGGAGTTTCCATCATTACTTAAACAGCCATAGCTATTTATGTAAACAGCCTGTAAGATTAAATCAAGGGAGAGGCACATAAATCCCACAAAACAATGAACAACTAGAAAAGCACTCAAAGAGCGCAGACCTCCGCCAAGGCAGCGATTTTTGATTATTATTGATTATTGGTTGATTATTGGTCCGGATCACCACCAAACACTAATCATCTCTCTCTTGGCCCACATCTGACAGTTCCTGAAAATTTCATCAAAATCGGTACATAACTTTTTGAGTTGATTACAAACAAACAGACAAACAGGGGTGAAAACATAACCTCCTTTGCGGAGGTAACAATTTGGATATCGGAAATACTTTTTTTACTTAGGATATTGATCCACCTAACAAAAATTTGACACGACTACATTACTTTGGCGGGTCAAGGTATAACGTGCTACGTCAAAAGTGCAAATGTTGGGCCAATGTTTTTGCTATCTGGGTGGCGACTTGAAATGCCCACTCCAGGCTCTGTTGACCAATCACGCCCTGTGCGACTGGCTTGCATGGGCAGTCCTGCGCACGCAGAAACCTTTGTCAAAGATTCGCGCTCAACAGCAACCGAGAATTAAAATTGGTAACCTAGTGCGATCGACACAATGCAGAAGGGGAAAATAATTATAAATAAACAAGATTCACCAAGTTTGTAGAATTATATGACAGTCTTTCGTTATTCCTGTCAGAGGTCCTCAGATCAGTTATTCATTAACCGATCCACACGGTTACCATGTCGACCAATAGACTGGTTGATTAATAACCGAATAAACCGTTGTTTGTAACTGATTTCAAGTCAACCGATTTTATCGGTAGGGTCAGTAACCGATTTGTTTTTAGAGTGTAACAATTATATACTTACGCAATATGCCCCCAACCTTATTAGGGATACAGAGTAATCCCCTCAGAAATATATTTTTCAATGTTTGCCCAAGAATTGACCTCAGCTTTCATTATATTTGGCTCGGCGTTTCTTAAAAATCACCGAAATTAATTAAACAAGTTGGCAAGATTATCATTTGAATAGCAGTGTGATCAATGTGACCCCGTAACTGAATTTTAAAAAAATCGAAAATCGACTTGCATGTATAAGTACCAATGGTTTCTGTGGACGACGTTCACTCAAAGTCGTTGAGAGGTCCGAGTACATTTAGTTGACAAAGGCTTTTTAAACACTAAGACGAAAAGAGTATTGTTTAACCCTTAAAATTTTCTGCCTTCAACGTGTCTAATTTTACTTAATTGCTGTAGGTAGCTGATTTGGAAAAGAAGTTGCATGTCACAGCCATGGCACATCTGGAAATGCAGAACAAGATAAGGCTTCAGCAGGAACAGTTAGTGAAATCTGATGCTTTGATGTCGAATCTAACTGATACACTAGGATCCGCCTTGGAGAAAATCAAGAAAATGGAAGAAATTCTATCTGTTCCTAAAGGTAGGAAATACATTAAGGTATAATAAAAAATGATAGTGTTAATTGAATTAAAGAATCTGTGAGTTTTGATGAAAGAATGTCTTCGTTTGTGTACGTGGGGAGGGGACCGGGGGCACAGAAATGTTTTTAAATATATTATTTTCCACACTACATTTACTTGTTCAGTTTTGCACATTCCTGAACATAATTTAAAAACTACAACTTGCTGCACCCTGACCTTCGTGGATATGGCACGAGTGTAAGTTTGGAAATGCTAAGTTATGAAACACGTAGCAAAATGATTATTGTATACAGAGTGCATTGTTGACACCAAAAAGCGATTCTGATGTCCAGGAATGTATGAAATTAGACATCTTTGATTGCCAGATAATATCCACTAAGGTTAATCCAAAATATTTCTAATTTAAAAGATTTGATCTAAAATAAATCTGATTGAAATCTGATCGTTTTGGGCGTCAAATACCCCGATAGTCTTATCTTTCGACTGGGTGATCACACACCTGGTTTATCAAAAATTCAAAGTTCATCGTTCCGTCATTGATAACGTGGGAGTCTTCCATTTTTTCTGTAAATTGTATATTTGCCAGCATTTCTGATCAGTTGAAAATTAAACAAAAGCGTTTTTAGATTTTTAGAGCTAATACCATATTTTGTAATCTGACACATTTTAAAGAATTTTACAAATTCGTATTCTGCTTTTCAGAGTGTCCCTCTGGTTTCGTTGAACTCGGTGGCAGTTGCTATTATATCTCGACAGCTAAGAAAACTTGGCTCCAAGCTCAGGAGTACTGTCAAAGTCTCTCTGCCAATCTGGCCACTATAACGTCCAAAGCTGAAAATGAGATGATTGCCGCCAATTTACCAGGTAAGCTCCTTTCCATTTGATTGAACAGATGGTTAATAGTTACGATTTTCCAAACATATCAAATAACTTGGGCTTCCAACCTTTTAGAGTGTAAAAAAATCTGACAGAGACCAGGTTGCTTATCATTGTAATGTCGTTTATAAAACAGAATATATTCAATTGTGTTGGAAGAAAACATAAGTGGTAAAAAATGCACTCGGAAAAAATGGGGATTAATAATAGTAATTATAAAATAATTTTATTTAAAAAGGGTACAACATGTTAAGCGCAAACACTTATCTTACACTTGGCCCTCTGGGAGGTAAGAATAAAATATTGTGTTAATGAATAAAAGTGAATAAATTAATGAAATTAAAATAATAACTAGACTGCAACTGGCTGAAGCCAGTGGCGGAGGATTCCCCTGCATAATAGAGGTGGAATGGCCTTGAAGAAAAAGGTCAATTACAAGGCCACGTGCCAGATCTGATCTCATATTCTGAATGAGCATATGTGGATTAGGGGAGGTGGGACATCAATACATCAATTTTAGCCCAAGTGAATATGTCACCTTAAAATGTCCAAATAACCTTGAAATTGAAGGTCAAGGTCAGATTTGACATTTGATTAGGGGATGTTAGGTATAGGTTTGGGGTAGTTTACTATAGCATGTTATCACAAAAAAATCAGTATTTCATGGAGAAATTGCCAAAGTCACGATTTCTGCGACATAAATATTTTAAAATCTATATTTACAAAAACGTATCATGCAATCGCTACGAAAGTTCAGCTAACTTTAGGTAAGACTAAGGTCCTTAGCCACATAGCTTATACTTAAGGCATAATTGCACTTTCAAATTTTGCAAATTTCGTCTTTAAATGCCCCTGTGACCTTGAAAAGTGGGTCAAGGTCACTGTTACTTGGTGTATAGCATATACTTGGGCGCCTACCAAGCTACACAAAAATCCAAATACAAGTAATCAAATACTGGGTCAAAATTTTACACTTAGGCTTCGTTCACATGCAATGTCTATTTTCTATTTTCTATTTTCGGTATGCCTTATGATCACGGTCTGTGCACTGAATATCCCGCGGCGTAATTACTGGCAGCGCGAGCCAGTTACTATAAGTTACTATAAGTAACTGGCTCGCGCTGCGGCGGGATATTCAGTGCACAGACCGTGATCATAAGACATACCGAAAATAGAAAATAGAAAATAGACATTGCATGTGAACGAAGCCTTAGATGATGGTGTTCTACTAAAACGGGCATACTTGGATGAACTAAAACACTTTGATCTTCTGTCAAATACTAACCTTCACAACACACGCCATACTTTGTCATGGAGTGAAGGAGTAAAGAAAATTCTTGTAGAAAATGGGTTTCGAGACGTATGGCTCAAACAGAAAGTAGACAAAAACTTCATGAAAAATTTTAGTGTTAGACTTAGAGACAGTAGTATACAACTTTGGCATAGTAGGATATCACAAGAAAATCTCAAATTGAGAAGGTATAAAACTTTCAAACTTCATTTTGAGAAAGAAAAATACCTTGATATAATACAAGATAAAGAAAAACGTCAAACCCTAACCAAATTCAGAATCAGCAGCCACAATTTGCACATAGAAACAGGTCGCCACGTCAGGGGTAAACCAACACCAGTCGAAGACAGAAAATGCCAAATCTGCAACTCTGGAGTTATAGAGGATGAAGAGCACTTCTTAATTACCTGCCCTCTGTATACAGAACACAGAAAAGAACTCTTTAAAATAATACAAAGCAGACACACATGCTTTGCACATTTAAACAACAAAGATAAATTCCACTTTATAATGAACAATCCAAACGAAACAGTGATAATTTCCTTGGCCAAATTCCTTAACCTTGCTTTTAACAATAGAAACTGTGCTACGTACGTACGTCTTCCACTTTATGATGTCTATCAATAATTACTATAAATACGAAGATTAAGTTCACATAGTAGAAAACATTGGTACATTTCTATATATGTAATTTTGGTGCTATTTACCTATGTATTTTACTATTACTATTATCATTATTATTGCTGCTATTACCTTATCTATGTACATTTTCACCAGCTCAGTCTGGTGCAGAAAGTATGAATAAAGCATATATATATATATACTGACCGTAGGCTACTTATGATAATTATTTCAATTTTTTTGCGAAACAAAAAGGTATGGAAAGAAAAATGTCCAAATGACCTTGAAATTGAAGGTCAAGGTCAAATTTGACATTTGATTTTGGGGTGTTAGGTATATGTTTGGGGTAGTTAAGTATAGCATGTTATCACAAAAAATCAGGATTTCATGGAGAAATTGATAAAGTCACTATTTCTGTGAAAGTATTAATATTAAAAAATCTAATCAGTCAATTGTCAATATTATTAGCGACTGCACTGGATAGAACCCCAGGGCAACCTTTTACATCATCCTTGTGGCTCCGTGACATCTGACTTACCCCCTGCCGAATGTCAACCACTTGGAGCATATTCTGCAATAGGTTAACCTTGACATGACCTTTTTGCCTAAAATTGGGTCACGTGATATAGAATCAATGTGTGACCTCACCTATGAAAGGATTTGTCAAAATGCTGATAATTCTAGGAGATATTGCATTTTGAAATTTGCAAAAAATTCACCTTGAAAATTAGGTCAAGGTCAATAAAATTGGGTAATCCGGAATAACTTTTCATAGGCTATCAGTATGATTTTTTTTCAGAATTTTAGATAGAAACTTTTTGACGAAAAATAAAAATAAGAAGAATAAGAATAATAATAAGAACAGCAAAAACAATAGAATTCCCCTATGGGAAATCCTAATAATGAGAACAGCAAAAACAATAGTATTCCCCTATGGGGAATCCTTATGAAGTAAAACTGCTTCGAGTTAGAATAACAATAATAATAAGAATAAAGCAAAAGGCATTAAATTATGCTAGTAAAATTTTAGGGTGGATTAGGCAGCCTATTTCCTGCGTTTGTGACCTCGTTAAAAATTTTTCAATAAAAAGTTCTGTCACTTATTGTGTGGTTTTGTTTAAAAGAAAGCTTTTTTATGCTACATTTTAGATTCAGTGCCCTACTGGTGGATAGGTGCTAACGACCGGGAGAATGAGGGTAGATGGGTCTGGGTGGCTACCAACGCCACTCTTACCTTCACCAACTGGTTTAGACCTGATGACGAACCTAATAATTTGAATGGAAATGAGGATTGTGTGGTAATTTACTATAAAGAGTATAACAACAAGTGGAATGATGCATCATGCATTACTAACACTGAATTTGTCTGTGAACGCTCCCGAATCTGATGTCAATTTCAATCCCAGTACCAAAATGGCCATGCCATATTGGATTTCCCCACCGCTAAACCCTTTCTTTCCCCATTTTGACCATTCGTTATCTTATCCCAAATCCCTGTCAAACGCAAATATGGTGATCTTGGTTCTCCTGGTTTCCAGATTATTAGTGGTCACCAGGGTGCACCCTGAGTTTAGATAGCCTCTGGGATCAGCTGCATGCTGAAAGTAGAGAGGAGAGTTTTTATCGACCTCTGTAATTTAGGTTGACAGGCTAGAGAGGCCGAGAGGACAACGTTCACCTCTGTACAGCGTTCAACGTAGCGGTGACATCTCTCACAAGCAGTTTATTTGGTTATACAAATTTAATTATTCTTGAAAATTACTAAAAAGGCATAAGCGAAATGACAATCCGCGCAGACAACTTTTCTAATAATCCTATGCATGGTGGATAGTAATGGCTGTCAAATGAGCAGGCTACTGCAATGTACAGGTAGCTGATTCTATTTTTTCCTTTAACTTCATAGTTACAGTTGTAATCTTCGAATAATTTTCCACTCAAGCAATAGGCCAATGAAGATCGCGATAACAGCTTTAGTATTAAATGAAACACGACCCATTAAAACAGTCTTTAATTCTACTCTGAGTGGAATATCTTTAAATAGCGAGTAATTTTACCCATGGCAAATTATTACAATCGTTCAATTTCCCAGAAAAGAACCTGTTTTAGAAGATCGTCTCATGTGTGTGAATTGAAAGCAAACAAACGACAGATATCTTTAGTTTTATCTTACCAGTAGTTTAGCAAAGAGTACGTTTGTTGGTCATGAATCACCCGTAAGTTTTATTATCATTATTTTGAACTGAAAAAATAACACGTGTTTGAAATGTTTCTTCTGAAAATATGGATTTTTAATTACCATAAAAAATTCTCATCTTTTGACTTAATTGAGTGAATCGTCTATGCCCTCTCTCCGTCGGTACGCCTGTCACAACATTGTGCGAAAAAGAAAAATAAAAAAAAAATAGATTAACGTGTCAGCCAAGGTCACCAAAGTTCTATTGGCATTCCTTGATCGCTGCTCGATAGGATCACCTTGACCTACTAAGCAAGGTCAACTACTAGTACCTCTGGTCACCTGACACCACCATGGCAACTAGACGCTTCCATTTTATCACAGGTCGAGACATTTGATTAACATTGGTAATTAACTGCTTAAGAAAGCACGTTGAAGAAGAAGGATTGTATATTTGGCCAAAATATTTAGGTACTAATAAAGATGAGTAAAATCTTCATATTTTTGATTTTGTTGACATTTCCTTTCTTCATTCCGTCAGACTGATGTATACAACATTTTGACAGAAAATCCATTTCATCTTCGAAAGATGCCGTTAAACGAAATTCATGGCTTGGCACGCAGCATAGAATGACTGATATATTGCTAATATAGCAATTATGCGCATATAGTTATTTATATTGAATAGTGTAATAAGATGACATGGGAAAACTGCGCATTATTACAGGATTCCAACAATGGGTACTGCAAAATATCGTGTGAAAGTAAGTGCAATACTTACCCAAATTATCTACTCGGAGTATTTTACCTCAAGGTTACATGAATCAGCCAAATTCTAATGTTACAATAGCACTAACATTGTATAGTCAAAGTTCCTGGGAGGTATTTCAAGTTTTTTTAAAGTAAACATTGAATGATTTTCATTTGACCTGGTTTTGTAATTTGGAAAATCAGTTATCATACTATAAAATTGTGTCAGACTTATAATTGTTGTCAGTGACTGAGTTGTTCGTAAACTGAAAGAGAGTAGGATTTACAAATTTACTCAAAATAGTTACATAACATAAAGGATATGAAATGAGACCAAAATAAGTTTCGAAAATAAACAAACCACAGACCTCTTAAAGTTTGATAAAAGAAAAAGAGGAAAAGGGATATACCGGGGAACAATAAAGACCAAGATGAGTTCCAAAATAAATCACAGGGCACTAAAAGTTTACTAAAGAAAAAAGTGTTTTACAACATTAGGTTCCGACCTGCTATGCCTTAGCCTGCGGTTTGCAGATTAACAGGTAATTCAGGTTTGATATAATCTAAGGCCAAATACCTTAACCTCGGGAATAATTATAATTATAATAGTAATAATAAATTACACGCCAAACCTTTACAAGAAATTTTCAAGAGAATAATTCAAAGGAATCCTTGTATCATGAAAAATAGCAGAAGCAGTACATGGTTATCCTACAGGTATTTCATGAGGCTTGCAAGTCATGGGAGTTATCGGGGTTGGGTAGCCCCTCCCTTTTTATCGACCTTCGGCAGGAAGCCAAGGGGGCAAATGGGGAGAGGGAGGGGAGATGAATATCCTCGTTCTTACCTGTACATTCACCGGTGTTACAAACTAGTAAAAGTCAGTCATAACATATATAGACCCCCAACACGGAAATATGCATAAAATTTTGAACGTCTGAAAAAGATAACATAAGGCTTGGCGAGGCAGACAACCTCTGGTCGAAAATGACTTTAATTCATGAAATTTGAACATCTGGAACTTCTGAGCACCTCCCATTTCAAGATTTCAACCAAAATGATCTTTTCTTTATTTCAGTTAAGTTATTCTGTAGGAAATTTTATGGCACATTACTGTAACTCCAAAATTGTAACATTTAGTCCCTTATATCCCCAAAACTGGCAGAGATAAGTCCATAGTTACTATGGAAGTTGAATAGGAAGTCATATACTGGCAATTAAACTGACCTTGAATTTGACCTTTAACCTACTTTTCACCATTAACTGAAGTTTGGAACATTTTAGTCCCTTGTATCTCCAAAACTGGCAGAGATATGCACACAGTTACTATTGAACTTGAATAGGAAGTCATATACTAGCAATCTAACTGTGATCATGAAATTGACCTTTGACCTACTTTTTGCCATGAATTGCACTTCACTAATTTGGATTTAACCTTTTACTTTTCCCCATGATTTTGTTTTAAATTGTAATTTTCAATAAAAATATTTAGAACTCTAGACTGCATTTTGTAGAGCTTGTCAAGCACAACACTGGAGGTGGTGTCCTTTTTTTTTGTTGCTTTTACATACAAATGCGCTTACTCCAGCTGGTGGAACAATACCCGAAGGCGTTATCGCCTCTCTGATCCTCTAGTTTTGGTACAATTTATACCTTGTTTATTTCATTGTTAATGGAAACATTCCAAACAGCTGTTTAGAGTGCTTTTATACACATAATTTTTTGTTGTTACTGTAACAGCCTTTTGCTTTTAGCATTTTTTACTATTCCTTAGAGCCTTGTACAAAATGTGTATTGGTTAACAATTTAGACCAACAAATGCTAGTCTGTGAGAGAAGTTATATAAAATTAATAAATACGCTGAAACAAGTTTTCCTAGTTATAAGAGTTTTATACAGTATAGTGAAATCAGTGATGGCTTTTGTGAGAAAATACTGTAATATACCACCCCTCCCTCTCTTCTTTAGGATTAAAAAATAACAATAACTTTCCCATTTACTTGTGCCAAACCACAAGTATTTAACATATAACTTTTTTTTTAAACCACAAGACATGTTTCATTAGAAACAAATCATTTATGTAATATATATGCTGAAAAGAGTTGCACTGAATCATTAGACTGCATACAACAGGTAAATATGGCTACTCCCCCCCCCCCCCCATAACTCATTAAATATACTATGTTACAATGCCTCAAACCAAATATTTTATGCATAAACTTTATTATAGCAAATTATTTTAAAATATGACAATGGGCACTTTGCCAATGGTTATCTGCACTCATCCTTTAAGGTTCACTTCCACAGGAATAGGTCATATGCAAGTTTAATCTGTGATTATTTTTTCATAAATGGGTCAATTTAGTGGTAATCCAAATAAAAATAAAAGCAAATTTGAAAATGTAGTCTAGCTTGTATTTCCCCATAAAAAGTTATTTACATTTTTACTGAAGATCACACACTAGTTTAAGGAAAAAAAAAAAAAAAAAAAAAAAAAAAAAAACAGTGTCTGACTCTAGTATATACTTTTATTAGAAGTATTTTTTTTTACTTTACATTTATCTCTATTTGAATACAAATGTGAATAAGTACAATTTTTAACAATTTCAAACTATGAACCATAAATTAACCATTAACTGATAATAAATATGAGAAGTGGAAAAATACTGAAAAAAAAAAAAAAAGATAATTAAGCAATCTTTGAGACCATTAAGAGAAAATTTTCTAATAAGACAAAATCTATCTAAAAACATTTGGGAAAAGAACATTTGCACAATATCAAATACAGTGGCAGAGAACTTATACATGTAAAAAGTTCATGAATATAAGAAGTTCATGAATACACAAAACGATCCAAAACTAAAAAGATTGCCAAATCATAAAATTTATACACCCAACAATTCTGTTAAAGAGAAATATATTTCCAACTTCTGATTTTTGAACATAAATTCCAACACGTCCTTAACTTATTGACTCAGGCATCATAGTCAACTAGAAATCACACAAAATGTATCTGTAATCAAGTATTTTAGTGAATTAATAGTATGAATAAACTCTTAAAATAATGTTTCTCACTCTTGACTTGATAAAATTATAGTTTTTTTTTTACAACTGTCAAATAACATGTGTAATTGTGTACCACAAACAATTTGGATAGTGGAAAAACTACATTCTATAAAAAAAGCTGTCATTTCATGAATAATGTTTTTTATAATCACCACTGTATACTGCCAGTCCTCTTCCATATAGTTCAGAAAATTACAACTATAAGACAACATTGAATGCTTAATTCAAAGAATAAGACTCCATCCATTTGTGGTATACTTAGATGCTTCTGGATTATTAAAACACCACACTTTTGATCATCACAGATCCTGCTGTCTATTTATGTTAGTTGACAATAAAAATCATCCTTTGCATGAACTCCAAAATATCAATTGTGAATTGCTCATATAAGATCATAAACTTTTAAGACAATACCTACTATATTGTAAACGTAATTACTGGTACGTTATATGTAAACAATTACTGAATATATCTTATAATTAATTAATATAATCATAAAGGTTTAACAATTCCCAGAGCCTTTGATATACAGATGATAACACAAGTACAGTAACAACAACAACAAAAAAAGGATTTTGTAATGAAATGATTGACATTATTAAGAAACATTTAGATGCTTGTAGAAAACATTAAAGTTCTTAATTAACAGGCCCCAAATGCAGTTTAAAAATATGATTAGTGGCATATAATACTTGAGCATACAGGTATGTCTGTAAATTAAAATAATTTTTCAACAGACTGAAAATTGCTCCCAATGCAATGATGTTGACATAGGTTATGTGGCAAGTCAGAAAAATTTATGTAAAAAGCTATAAAACAATATATATGGATTACTGTCTTCTATGTAATGACATATTCACAATTTTAATTTTTAAAAGCTAGACTATGGCATGTACATTTGGGAATAAATAAATAAATAAATAAATAAATAAATAAATAAATAAATAAAATACAACTTATTTAACCACAGATTCAATCAATAAGGGAGGTATTGAAAGGAATGGGTATAAATGCATGTTAGAAATAATAGATGTTTTCAGCCAATTTGTGAAAAGGCCACTCATACATGTATATTGTAAAAGAAACATTGTCACAGGCTGTTGCAGCAGAACTATAATGCCAATGCAGGCTTTCAGGAATTGTAGAAGCACAAAGTGGAGGGAAGTTCGGAGGTTGGGGGGGGGGGGGGGTTTAGTTCATACAGGCTCTTATGGGTAAACCAGGAGTGACAAAAGCAAACAGATGCCAGGACAGACCATCAGGAAAAGGAGAGTTTTGTACATGTGCAGTCAAGTGGTTACGGCAACATTTTAGATGCATTGAAAAACTAAACCCAGATTCATGCATTATGATAACCTCAAGCCATTTTATGGGTCTAATTAGGTTGTTTATGCTGAGAGTATTTCTCTTACAGATCCAGGGCAACAGAATAGTGACGATGGATGGAGAGAGAGCATGCAGAGCAGCCTGCAACATCTATGTTAGTCTTCCCTGCATCCTCTGATCACAGCAGAGAATGTTGGAATTTAATACATTTTTGTCAGAAGAAGAAACTTGAAGGAACTTACCACAGTTAAAAACTATGGCATTTTATTTTTCTAATAAACACAAAAAATTAGGCTTTAACATGGAGATCGAATTATAACCCAGAAGAATCAATTAAAACTGATATTGATCCCTTTTTTGGAAT